GGGGGAGGGCACCTCAGGCAGATAAGGTTAGCAGCTCAGGGGTGCAGGTGCCCAAAAGGCCTGGCTGAGGTCTGGGGTCAGTGAGTGTCAGGGGTCAGGAAGACTGGCCCTGTTGGGATCCTCTCCACAAGGGTGTAACCCCTGCAGTTGCTCCAAGTCCCAACACTAGGTCTCAGATGCACAGGGGAGGGAACAAAGCCAAGAAGGTGACCTTGGGAACAGAAGCCTCTGTGTGCCTGGGGTGTGGGCAGCACAGGACAGGAAGGGGTAGGGAGGGCTTCCTGCCTCAGGTGGGCTCCTGAGCTGTGATTCCTGGGCATGAGTACAAGATGCCCCAAGGAACAGAGGGGGCACACACAGCCGGGCCCAGAAACCTCTATGGTGGGGGTAGGAGAGTCACCTTGAGGCCTGCCCCTGAGGACACTGGAGATATGGGCCATTGAGGCCTTCACCCTCTGGCGCAGCCCCAGTTCCACAGGCTCCTCCAGCAGGGCATGCCTCCCAGGAAAGCGCAGGAGACCTCTGGAGGGGGGTGACAACTTGTGCTTCCTGCTGCCACCTGCCTCCCTGAGCAAGGGGGCCTCCCTGTCCTCCAGCTCCTCTCTGATCTCCAGGCTGCCAGGCAGGCCCAGCATGCCCTGCCAGGACCACGTGGCCTCTGGGAGCTCAGCCAGCTCCTCACTGGCCTCTGACCCCGGGGATGGTGGCGGCTCTGGCTTGGGCATCTTCCTGAAGATCATGAACTCAAATGGAAGGTACTTGATATCATACAGGTCCTTCAGGTTGAGGTAGGCAGGCTCCACCTCCGATATATCCAGAGATATGGTGTCTGCTGCCTCCATGTCCCCTGACAGGTCCTGGATCTGTACCAGAGACACCTGGGATCCCCTGTCCCTGCTGCCCTCCAGCAGGGGTACCACACTGGCCTGGGGGAGTGGGCTCTGGGCCTCTGTTTCATCCTGTTCCTCCAAGGATTGTGAGGTGGCCCAGGCCATCCTGGCCCACAGTGGCCCCTGTCCCAGCATCCCTCCCGCATCCCCCCCAAATGCAAAGGTGCCATAGCCGGCCACCCCCGCATAACCTCCATGGTGCCCAAGGGAGAACTTTCGTGAGGTTGCCTGCTCCTGAGGCTGAAGTGGGCTGGGCTCAGACTGGGACTGGCCCTCTGTCTCCTGGGCTAGATCCTCTGTGTCCAGGGAGGTGCTGGACTCCATGCCAGATGGGGAGGCTGGTCCTGGAGACCTGGAGGAACTGGGCCTCCCAGGGTAAAGGGTGGCCTCCAGCCCCATCTTAGAGCCTGACTGGAGGCTTGCTCGTGCTGGGGAGGAGGAATCCTGGAGCTCCCTGGAGAGGAAGGGGCTCGGGGTTGCCAAGAGAGCCTCCAGGCAGTGCCCTGGAGGAAAGGAGCCAGGAGTTTGGGGTGAAACAGCCCCAGGGAAATCACAGCCCTTCCCGATGGCAGGACGCCCCTGGGGGTGACAAAAAGGAGCTGGCTGCCCCCCACAGCTGTCCTGGGAGGACCCCTCTTGCTCAGCAAGGCAAGGATCTCCACCAGCAGATGAAAATAGTCTCCGCCCTTTTGGAGACTCCATTTCTGTGGCACCTTCCACCTCGCTGGGCAGTCTCTGCGCTCCCGTTTCAGCGTGGAGGCCCCAGAGGGTGGGTGAGGGACTCTGCACCTCAGGGCAGGCCTCTGAGGAGGGGCAGTCGATGTCCAGCGACCGGCTGCGGCCGGGGCCTCCGGGGGCGCGGGCGCTGGCGCTGGGCGGCCGCAGGGAAGTCTCGAAGGAGGGCGCCTTGGCCATCAGAGCCGCCTGCTCCTCTCGGGCCGCCTCCTCCTCGAGCGCGCGGTACTCGAGCAG